GTAGTGATGCAGCTGCGGTACAGCTTCTGGTCCGTGGTTGTGTCTCATCTTCTGTGTGGGTGTGAGTCTGCTTTCTATGTGGAAGTGTGGTGGTAGCATCTTGTGTGGCCCTCATGGATGTGGGTCTGGTGTCATTCTTCATGTTAGGTACTCGTTTGTTAATGAGGGTAGGTTTCCAAATGGCTGTTAGGCAGGAGGTATCATCTCATTTATTCATGCTGTGTGGGCATTTTTCTATCTCTATGGCTTCTCTGATTTTTCTGTTGTTGAAGTGTTCGGTTTTGGCAATAGTTCTGGTATTTTTAAAGTCAATCTCATGTGCTGTGGCTTTGAAGTGTTCGACCAGGGAAGAGGTCGGTTCTTCTTTTTTGATTGAGTTCTTGTGTTCTTCAATGCGTGCACTTATTCTTTGTTAGTTTGTCCGATGTATGTGGTGGGGCAGGCAGTGCAAGATATTTCGTATACTCCTTGGTTTTCTAACTCGATTTTGTCTTTAGGGTTTCTTAGGATGGTGAATATTTTTCTGTTTGTGCAGAATGCTGTTTTAATGTTGTGTTTTTGGCGGATCTTGCTGATTTTGTCTGTAGTGCCTTTTATATATGGGAGGAGGGCGTTCTCTTGTTCTCTGTCTTGGATTTTGGTTGGGATTTGTTTTTGGATTAGGTGGGTAATCTTCTTTCTTTGGAATCCATTGGCTGTTAGTATGTTAGTGAGAGTGTGTTGTTTGGTTTTTAGGTGTTGTTTGTCAGCTAAGAATTTTGTTCTGGAGATGAATGTCTTGGCTACAGAATTGATCTGTGCTGGGTGGTGGTGTGAGAGTGCATGTAGATAGCAGTTTGTATGTGTTTTCTTCTGGTAGATGGTGTGTCCTAGGGAGCCATTGGATTTTTTGTATACTAAGACATCTAGGAAGGGAAGTTGATTGTTAGCTTCTGCTTCCATGGTGAATTGTATTTTGGGGTGTAGGCTGTTGAAGTGTGTGAGGAAGTTGTTCAGTTGTACAGTTTTTTTTCCCATGTGGCCAGATTATGAAGGTGTCATCTACGTATCTGAGCCAGAGTTTGGTTTGTGATTATATTTTTCTAGAGCTTGTGTTTCAAAGTGTTCCATGTAGAGGTTTGCGATGACAGGTGAGAGGGGTGATCCCATGGGTGCTCCTTCTATTTGTTTGTATTTTTGTCCATTGTAGGTGAAGTATGTATTGGATAGGCAGTGGTTGGTCAGATCTAGGATCTGCTTGCGGGGGGTTGTATTTGTTTTGGATGGCTGTCAAGGCTTCTTTTATAGGCACTTGGGTGAAGAGGGATATGATATTGAAGCTCACTAGTAGGTCGCTGGGTTGTAAGTTTTGTTTCTTTATGATCTCGATGAACTGGAATGAGTTTCTTACGTGTGAGTTGATGGATTCTGCATAGGGCTGTAGTTGTTTGGTGAGAAATTTGGCTAGGTTTTGTAGAGGAACATAAAGAATGACACCAGATCTGCATCCATGAGGGCCACACAAGATGCTACCACCACACTTCCACATAGAAAGCAGACTCACACCGACACAGAAGATGAGACATGACCACGGACCAGAAGCCATACCGCAGCTGCATCACTACCCGCTTCAAACCCCTCCGACCCATACATGAAGTGAACTGACATCCACCATGAAGATGTGGCACGACCACAAATGCGAAGCCAAACAACAGGATCACAGCTCACCAGCTCAAATCCCCCAGCAACTAAGACTAACCTGAGCACAACCAAGCCCCCAACAGAACACACCCCCAGCCAATCAGAACACAGCCAACCTCCCAGCCAATCAGAACACAGCCAAGCCCCCACCCAATCAAGGCACACACCCCACTAGCAGTTAAAAGGAAGAAGCAGCTGCAAGCTCACATTACTCTGAGAAGCACAAAGCCGAAGACACAAGCCTGAAGATGATGAATGAGACTTCATCGAAACATCGCCTAGATGCTTCCAATTTTACACAGGAGAAAACCCGAATAACCAAAGATCCACATACAAATACCCGCGAGAACCTCAGAAAACATATATATGTATATGTATATGTAGATATAGATGTAGATGTAGATGTAGATGTAGATAGATATAGATATAGAGATATAGACATAGATATATATATATATATACACATACATACACACATACACACACACACACACACACATACATACATACAAAAACACACACACACACACACACACACACACACATATGTTCTGTCTCATTTTTCTTCTTTCCCAAAAGATGAAAGAATACAAACTCACACAAACACAGGCAGGCAAGCTGGCACGGACTTCACAGAGTTAATTCTTTGGAACTGATAATATCCTTGGCATTCCAACACCCTATGCCTGCCAAGTCCGAACTGATAACAAATAAAAATCTACTCACAGAAAATTACAAGGCAGTCCACAAAAATCATTCACAAAGAAAATCTGAAGTAAGATTAAACTTTGTCCTGTACAAAGTTCCAGCCGAAAACACACCCACTTTTATCCCTGTGGGGTGTGGCTCAATGACTCAGCTCACTCTCTGACCCTCCCATGCCTCCTACGTTGCTGCTCACTTTTCTCCCTATGACACTGCTTAGGATCAAGCCAACTCTCTTCCTCTTTACTCCCTGTAAGGGGCTGCTCTGATATGCCTTCCTCCTGATAAATCTCAGGCTGTTCCTCTCGGTTGTCTGATGAAACCTGAGGCATTATCAGGGAGGAAGGCATTACCAGAGAGGAAGGTCCTGAGGAGGAAGGCATTCCCAGTTCCTCCTTTTCATCTTCCAGGTCTCTGACAGCATAGGCTTGGGAATCGGGGCCACAACATACATACATACATACATACATACATACATACATACATACATACATATAAATAATATTATATATATTATGCCCATCTCATTTTTTCCATTTCTAGGATGTGCTAACAAAAACCCACCCATATATAACATTAAAACCAGGGGTGAAATTCAACCACCTCTGCCCACCTCAGGAGAGATGGTAGGGACAATTTGAATTGGTAAAAAAAATGACCCTGATTGCTACTGGTTGCTATTACTATTATACCAAGTCACGCCAACAGCCACGCCCACAGAGCCCGTAGGGATTTTTTTAAAAATTTCGCCCCTGATTAAAACCCAGTTAAATAGTATTCTGTGATTGGCATCTGAACTGGTGTGTTCATTGAATAAGAGATAAGGATAGTGGTATCTTGGAATCTGGGATTGGTGAGAGAGAACCTGTCTTCCTGCTTCTTTGATTGGGCTCCTCGTTTCTTTTGGCTTAAAGTTGGTTTTCCCAATTGCACACTTAAAGATATTGGAATCTGTTGTAGCTTCAAGCATGGATACTTAGTTCAATGTTAAATCCATGCTTTATTCACTTCCTTGATCCCTTTGGAATGGCTTCTGCTGCCTTAACATCATACTGTGATGCCTTCTGATCAATAGTGGGATTCAAAAAAATTTACTACCGGTTCTGTGGGCATGGCATGGCTTGGTGGGCGTAGCATGGCTTGATGGGTGAGGCAGAGGAAGGTTACTGCAAAATCCCATTCCCTCCGCACCCCACTAACCTGCTTTCCATCTCCGTTCTCCTGTGCAGGGCAACAAAAGAAGACCCAGCCAATCAGCTGGGATTCAAGAGGCAGAAAATAGATGGGGGTGGGGCCAGTCAGAGGTGGCATTTGCCAGTTCTCCGAACTACTCAAAATTTCCGCTACCGGTTCTCCAGAACTGGTCAGAATTTCCTGAATAGCACCTCTGCCTCTGATGGTAATGTAATGGTTGTATTTTCCCCAACTTCCCTGTGAATACCAGCCTCACAGGACAACTTGATACATCAACCAGCCAGTTGAGGTATTAAAGTTCATGTGAAATTAACTTGAAATTAACCTGGAACTGAATTGATAGCAATGTTTGTGCATGTTGTCTTCTTTCAAAGAAAGTCTCCTTTAGGTTGAGTTCCATTTCTGGTGATTTTATTATTTAGGGTTTTTTTTAATTTGTTATGTTCCCCCCCACTCCAGCAGATTCCAGTGGCTTAAAAAAACACAAACTGAAAAATATAAAACAACACAGATAAACAATATGAAAACAACCACAATAAAAATAAGAAACCACAACAAGTGTTTCACAAACACATTAACCCAGAGCCAGGCCTTAAGGGTTTTCTGTAACTCTGGGAAAGTGTCTGTGGGTATATATGTATACCTATTCCAGAGAGCAAGGTCTGTGACTGAGAAGGCCAAATCACCTGAGGGCCAGTTGAAGAATAATGGATGGAAATTGACCAAGAGAGATTCAACCTGGAAATAAGGAGAAATTTTATGACAGCGAGAGCAATCAAGCAACGGAACAGCTTGCTTTCGCAAGTTGTGGGAGCTTCATCACTGGAAGCTTCAAGAAGAGACCGGACTGCCACCTGTCAAGAATGGTGTAGGGTCTCCTGCTTGGGTGGGAGATTGAACTACATGACCTACAAGGTCCCTTCCAACTCTGTTTATCTGTTAAGGCATGGTTCTTTAGTCCCACAGGATTCCAATATTAATATCGTCGGCGTTTAATACAGGGAACCTGGAGCATACTCACTCTGCCGGAACATACTCAGCGGGAAGAGACAACTGGAAATAGATGCTCCCTTGGATACTCAAACCCACCCACCCCCACATGCCCCTGTGCATTTCTCTTCTTTACCCTCTCAGCTGATTGGCACTGCAGGCCTCAGCTGGTGTGTGAAAAGCTGTGCATGTGTGTTAGGTGCGCGTGCATGATCACCAAACCAGTAGTGGAACAGATATAGGATACCACTACTGGACCAAATGTAACTTTTAAATGGTTTTCAGCTCTAATCTTTTGAGGTGAAATGATTAACTCAGGAGTTTATTTTCAGTGCAAAATTAGTCAGATATGAGGGAATCAGGGTAGGAGGAGGTGTATGTTTGCTGTGTCCCCTTTTGTTCACCCACCCCCTCATTCTTTTCTCTTGCAGACCCACCTGCTGTTGAACCAACATTCCTTGAGATTCGACAAGGCCAAGGCCGAAGTGTGACCATGAGCTGCCGGGTGCTGAGGGCTTATCCAACTCGGGTTTTGACCTTTGAGTGGCGATTGGGCAGCAAGCTTCTTCGGACAGGAAGATTTGATGCTCAAGACTCCACAGAGTATATAATCAGGAGCCTATCAAGGGACAGTTATGGAAATTACAGTTGCAACATCATCAACGAGGCAGGGGCTGGCCGCTGCAGTTTTCTTGTGTCAGGTAGGCCTTCTACATGCTTCCCAAGTTGGTGTTGACACCATATAGAACAGTGATGGCAAACCTTTTTGTTGTGGTGGTGCTGAAAGCGCTGGCATCCACAATCCACAATGTGCCCTGCCCCCCCGCACATGCTTGTGCAACATCCCCACCCCACCCCTTACCTGCACTGCACATGCACATGCCTCCCAGCTGATTTTCAGCCCGTTTGAGACTGTTTTTGGCCTCCCGGAAGCTCGAGGGAAGCCTCTGAAGCCTCGGGAGGCTGAAAATGGGCCCGTTTCAGCACTTCTGGTATTTCTGGAAGACCCATTTTCAGCCTCCCAAGGCTGCAGAGGCTTCCCTCAAGCCTCTGAAAGGGTAAAAACGGCCTTCCCCAGGCTCCAGAGGCCCTCCAGAGGCTGAAAACAGGCACTTCTGGTATTTCCAGAAGGCCCATTTTTCACCCTCCCCATTTTTCATGCTTCCCTCAAGCCTCTGGGAGGGTGAAATTGGGCTGAAAATCAGCTTAGAGGTGCGCACATGCACAGTGCAAGTAAGTTTGGATGGGGCTTATGTGCTCACACAAATGGTTCTGCGTGCCACCTGTGGCATGTGTGCCATGGGTTTGCCATCAGGGATATAGAAGTTGAGATGCATGAAGTCCATGCATCTCAATTTGCATGAGGTGAATTGTGGTAATGCTACCACTGGGATGCATGAGGTCCATGTATTATTCTGTAGTCAAGCAGTGGTGTCACATATGTGTGTGTGTTTATGGAAAGAGAAGGAAAAAAGAATAAAATAAAGCTTTCTCTGTATAAAACTATTGTAGGTTTGCTGTGATTGTAAATCCCTGCAAGATCTCCATTTCTGGAGACCAAAGTTACTATTACTATCAAAGCATTAAAACATTTGGCATTTCTTTTAATAGCATCCTTGTGTTTAGCAGTCCAGTTTAAATTCATGCAATACATTTTATCCAAAACAGTTAAAAACTATTAATAACTGCATTTGCAGAACTAATGTTGTACACGCTCGGTTGGTTTTCATCTTTTTGTGTGCATGATTTAGCATGTTATGTGCGCCCATCACATTTTACTGATTTATTGAATGGTTGATTAATTTGATTATACATCATCCCGTCAATGTTGACTCTTAATGATTCACATATATAAACTTCTTTCAGGGTGATTTGATCCTTCTGATCTCCCAATAGTGCACTGAGTGCTGCAATAATTAAGCCCATCCATCCTGACGCCAGTTGTCTTCTCCTTCCCTTTCCTTCCATCTCACCAGCTAGAGTTTTGTATAATGTGTCCAAAATAATGATAATTTGAGAATGGTCACATGTGTTTTGTGTGAAAACTCTCAAAAACCTTTATTAGAAAGGGGGAAAAAAGGTTAATTCAAACTGAATATAGTAGATGACTCCACGCCACCTGTTCCCTTTAAAAAAGGGTGACTGATATTTTCATGTTTTTCTAAAAAGAGCAATAAATGCATATCACTCTTGGCTGGAGCCAATTTGGCTCCTCTATTCAAATACAGTTATTATTATGAACAAGGAAGATAATTCACTAATCTATAACATAAATATGACTGCTATTCTTCCTCCTCTGCTTCCTTCTTTGTCCACTTTATGTATTTATTATTCTGTGCACCATCTGCTAATAGATCCTTTGGGGTCAGTTTAACTGTTTTAAACAATCATTCCCTTGTGACAAAGTTTATAGCTGTTGTTCTTGATAGTATGATCCATGAAGATTTCAGTTCGTCTGTCTCCTCTATATTTTGATCATCTATTATTAAGGAATTGAAATGAAGATTAATTTCAGTTTTCTGTTTGATGGTGTGTAAAACTTGAGTGCACTAAATTAGCACTTAAGGATAACTTCAAGAGCAGCAACATAATCTACCATCTATTTCATCCTATTTTCAACACACATATCAATTTATTTGGAATACCTTCATTTCTGGGGTTTGTTGCTCCAATGACATTTTACTTTACTTCTTTCAGTGCAATGCAGATTCAAAAATTCAAACATATTCTATTAACCTCTTTCTCCAATTAAGTGTCCTTGATTTTATTCTAGCAAAACTTTTTATGTTATCTTCTCTTAGTTAAAATATTGATATAGCTATAGAACATGCTTAAAGTCTTACCCTATGCACAAATATTCCCAAAAGTAAATTTTGGAATTGTCAAATCTTCACTATTTGGAATTCAAAGATTACTTCCATGCTGTTTCCTGGGGTTTGTGCTCATGAGCCCAGTCAGATTTTTACTTCTATAACAGCTATGATTCCTTCACAGCTTAAAACTAAGCATTCAGTTACCAAATTTAATACAACCAAGAAGAGCACCTCAAGGCTATATATTTAGCTTCTGTTTGAACATTGTCCAGGTTTCCAATACTGCAAATATTCTGATATATATTTTCATCAGGTTATGTTTCTCTCATCCAAACAGAAGCATCAGATGGTGCTAATCTTGTTTCAACAGCTACCCTATACTATTTCCATCTTCTATATTTCATCCATGATGGTGAACTACTTCGTAACATGATAATAAAGAAGGGAACGTTGGTCTCATGTTTGCATATGAAGACACATCTTATCCTGTTACATTTTTTACAATAAAATACCTTATTTCAGTTCTTATACCTGAGAGCCATGTAGGCACCGTGGTTAGCATGCAGTATTATAGGCTAATTCTGCTGACTACCAGCAGTTTGATTCTCACTGGTTCAAAGTTGACTCATCCTTCCAAAGTTGCTAATATGGGGATCCAGATTATTGGGGGCAATATGCTGACTCTGTAAACTGCTTAGCTCTCTGTAAAGCATTATAAAGCAGTATATAAGTCTAAGTGCTAGTGCTTGTGCTTGTGCTAGTGCTAAGCCTTCTCTAGACATTTACCGAAACAAGGCATTTAACTGTATTTAAGATACATGGGTAATGCATGCTAGCTATCTCCTCTTTTTTCCATATTCATTGTATTGGCAAATTTTGAAATGGTCATGTACAATCATTAACCTGATTAGAGCTTGAATTAATCTCAGATGTCTGAGAAACTAATCCCAGATTATCTCTAGAGTCAATTCAGTTTACACTTCTTGTTCTTTCAGCTGACTTTGTTGACAATAAGTTGACAATTAAGTTAAAATGAAGGAAAAGTGCACTGCGCATTTTAACCACATCTTCTTTAAATGCAAAAGCATATTGACAATCCAACATGGCTCATCTTTGCAAATAAATTGTATCTTCTTGTGAAGACAGATGCATTGATTGCCCTGTAAATCTCTCTTGGCCATTGATGACATCTTTGTAAAGGAAGATTTGTCTGCAAGTTATTAGCTTCCATTTTTCAGAGTAAATGAAAGATTCTGGCTATAAACTGGTAGGAGAAGTTACATATTTTATGTGGATTTGAAGTTTCAGTGCATTATTTTCTTTTTTTCTGAGCACAGCGGAGCACCCATTACATCTTCCTCCCTGAACCATGAAACTGTTAACTTCAGCACTGGACAGCCACTTATCTGCAATGGTATAGGTTCTCCTGCTTGAGCAATGGGTTGGACTAGAAGACCTCCAAGGTCCCTTCCAACTCTTGTTATTAAAGTCTGTTAAACGTTCTTTTAAGATATACTTATTTGGTTTAAGTTGTCAAAGTTTACCTTTAATAAGCACCAATTTGCCTAGTCTTTTTGTCACATAACTTTTGCGGAAAGCAGTATGTATGTATGTATGTATGTATGTATGCATGTATGTACAAAAATGCACAAATATTTCTTTACATTTGAGGTGCCTTATTGAAGCCACTGTTTCTCTTCAAGAGTTTTATCTTCAAAGGAAAATCAGAAGGGCCAGCATTCTTGAATTAAGGCCATGCTTGACCTTCAAATGATGCACTCTAGTAATATTTAAAAAATGAGCAAGAATCAGTCAACAAAGTGAAAGTATGCATGACGAGTTGAATGTTAATTTTAAGCCTGGATTTAAAACCATTAGGGTTTTAAAAATCACCCTCCACATATTTAATTATTTTCCCTTTGTACTATAAAAATTATGATTTGCAGCAAAGTCTACAGGAGCACTGTGGGTTTTATTTAAGGCTTTGGGGAGCTACATATATCTGTAGGGCTACAGATGGTGCATCTCTGTAATAAACATTTTTGATATGGAGGTTGCATAATTTAGCCTTCTCCGACGGGGAAAATCTAGCAGAAATAGGGATTTCAGCTTTCACAAAGCCCCAGCCAAACCATCATGACTGAAAATTCTGGGAGTTGAAGTCCACATATCGAAAGGGTACCCATACTGAGGAAAGTGGGTAGGTTTCAGTTCTGCCTCCTATTAAAATTAATTTATGTCTGTAGACATCTAGATGTCAAGGAAACATTTATTTATTTATTTTATTTTACTTTACTTTATTTTATTTTATTATTTTATTTTATTTCATCATCTCCCAGCTCTAAACTACTTCTATTCATCAAAGAGTGGAATTTTATTGTTCCTTATTTATTTTAGGTGGATAACTTCTCCCTGCCAACAACAGCACTTTCACCTGTAGGACAGAATAGAGTTTAGAGAAACAACAGTTACTTCAGATATGAGTAATTTCAATAGGAGCTTCAGGTGTAGCTGCCTCAAAGGGTTTGCTTAACTTAGTCAATGGAATGCTTTACACAAAATAACACACACACACCAAAGTAGGTTTGATACAATACCCTAACAGTTCCCAACAGTCCCCAACCTTTCCAGCTTGGTGGCCCAATGTGTGTGTGAGGGGAGGGGAATGGTTTCACGTGAGTGGCAGATACATGTACACAAGCACGCACAACTCCATTTGTGTGAGCGGAGCTTTGCACTATTGATGTGAGTAGAGCTGTGCATGCGCATGTGCTTGCCCACCGCTTGTGCAGCCTGGTTCTGAACAGGCTTCAGCCCAGGGGTTGGGGACCCTCTGCCCTAAGATACCAAAAACAAACAAAAATTTTAAAAATAAACTAAGTTACCAA